GAAATGAAGAAAATAAATTCAACACAACAATTGGCCGGTGCGCAAACTGACCAGGGATTCTCTCCCAAAAAGTGCAAGCCTTTGTTTGAATACTTTGACAGAAAAATAGATAAGCAAGACAACAAATATGCACAACAGTTTCCGCAGTAAAAAATATTCACAACAGTTTTCTTCGGTGTCATCACTCTGCATTATTCCCTCGGTCATTATTCCACCACACAAATCGACTTTGGAGAGTGACTCATTATTAATAACCTGCGAGTTTTCTTGGTACAGTACTTGCAGCAGGTGGTGTTGACTGACAGACGTCGTGGCGTCTCGAGAATATTTGCCTGAAGATTCACTTCTGAATCATTTAAAAAGGCGAAACTTTTCTTTCGACGTGAGCTCTGCTTTCAAATATCGACTCGCGAGAGTAACGCATAACTCCGTAACCTTTTTCCGTTGAAAAGCAGTGGTGCTGCTAGATATGTTTTACAAAAATTCCCTCCTGAACAATTAGAACACGAATTGACTTTCTAGATGGAATGGGGTCCAAAAAAAAATCTCGTGACCCAAAATAACGCGAAAAGCTGACTGATTTATCAATTTTATGACAGCATAATTGCGTGTGAGAAGCACTTTTCAAAACGTTGACTTTTATAAAATAAAGACATGCAGCGTTTTTACATTTTTTTGCATTGTGTTCGCATGACAGTTTATGATTTGAAAATGTTAATCGATTCCACAGATCAAAATCTTATTATTTTAGCGACTTCTTTTCACAGCTAAGTTTGCGTTTAAGCTAAACATAATTGAAATTATTTGTTTAATGCCAATTCACACGTAGAATGGAAAAAGTACATGGCAGCACGTTCGTTTCTTATCAAGGCAAAAAATTGTTCATTGTTTTTTTTTATATTCTTAGACTGAAGTCATCAAATATCATGATCCCAAAAATTTTACATTTACGCTTGACAGTTAACGATTGTACAAGTAAGTTATACATAAGCACTTTGAAATGGAATTATTATGCAATAGTTTCAGAAACGAATTTTTCTGAAATTTATTGGACTCAACAGCGAGATTTAAAACAAGCCTTTCTTCATTTACAATGGGTTATTATCGTCGATTGCATTGAAAGCAAAGCTCGTATACAAAACAAAATCCCGTTTTTAAATGTTAGAAATGAATTTCAAAGATAACCTACAGCATTTGTCTGTCAACATTTTCAATCAGGTATCGACATTTTCAGGCAACCTTCACGTTCAGGAATCAGCGTCAATCGAAAAGCAACGATCGGAGCTTGTCGAATAAGGAAATTTTACCATCGAGTTTTCTGTTTTTTTATTGGAAATATCGTTTGTGAGTTCGATTGATTGAAGAAGCATTACATATGCAAGTGTGGGAGGTACGAGGAAACCCTCATTTCCTCGAAATGATCAGATCCATTTTCAAGTCTCTATAGGGACTCCTCATTCCAACGCAAGTGAGCAAATAAAGGTTATAAAGTGATCAAGACAGGACCATATATTGCTCTGCTAAAATCCTGTCCGTCTTAACATTCGAAGAAAGCAGATGAGTGACAGAACACGTGAAAGAAGCATCGCATCTTCAAGTACAGGGAAGACGAAGTGAGGTCTTGAAATTTTAAAATTGACATGAACTGAAATTCCACCGAGACGAAGATTCCCAAAGCGTCGAAAAAACGTTAAAAAAAAGCGGTTAAGTCTAAAACTTCAGTTCCATTTTTCTCTTGTTTGGAATCATAAGTGTATTGCAAAATAATTCTCGTTGAATGACATCAACGAGTGAATCATTATTCGAGCTCTATGACAATTCGGTTATCTCCTCATACACGAGGGACAGAAATCACTATAATTCAAAGCGCTCTGAACCAATGAACGCTGCGATGCATTCGCATCTCCTTCCGTGGCATCCATGTCAGATATAATTTCCAATTATGCTAATTCCGAAAACGGCGGAACCGTCGCTCACATATGGATGAGGTTGCCGATCTACGGGCCATTCTTCGCTGGGAATCACTTGATTCGATTTTGCTGGAGACCGGAGCGACATTTAAGCTCGACTATACGCAAGAATACTTTTCAATTATCTCTTCCGTGAAAGCGTAGGCACGAAGGTTCCCGTTTCCATAAAGGGAGGGGGCTTCAGAAATGCCATCAAAAATTCATAATTTGCACGTCATCGCAGATCAGCCATTGGTGAATTACATATTTATAAACCATCACAATAGAAAAAATGTATCGTTATGATGATCCACCTTTTAAATGGAAACGCATGCCGAAGCTTTCCAGATTCCCCGGCTACAAACGAAATCTTTTTTGTATTATTAATCCATCAAAATTTATTCCATCGCTTTGAACAAATTGTTTTCGTCTTTCGACGCAAATGACAACAAATTTGAGATAAACTGCAACCGAACAAATCACCACAAAATTTTTGTTCAATTAAACTATAATGTTTTTCTTGAATTCAGGTCCTAAATTTATCACAATAACAAAAATGCTTCCAGCAGTTAAAATCTTGAATGAAGCGGTATTTGCAACACTCAACGAATTCTTCGTTAGCTATATATAGAAGCTTCTGAGTATTGAAAATATTTTCGTGAACTATGCATGAAATTTTCCGCTTTCCAACAATTTTAGAAAACAGTTCAGAATGAGATGCTTCCACAGTGAAAAGGATCTTTCAAATGAAGCTCGTCACGATGTTGTTTTTACCAATATAATTCAAACGTTTTCCTACCGTTTCTGAGTATTTCCATTCGTGATGCATTTTTTCTAAAAATTGAATAAATCAAAGCATCGTAAAAAATACAACTTACAATTTTCCACTACAAAATGTTCATCATCAAAGGCGGGATTAGGCACGAAGGTTCCCGTTTCCATAAAGGGAGGGGGCTTCAGAAATGCCATCAAAAATTCATAATTTGCACGTCATCGCAGATCAGCCATTGGTGAATTACATATTTATAAACCATCACAATAGAACAAAATTATCGGTACGATGATCCACCTTTTAAATTGAAACGCATGCCGAAGCTTTCCGGATTCCCAGGCTACAAACGAAATCTTTTTTGTATTATTAATCCATCAAAATTGATTCCATCGCTTTGAACAAATTGTTTTCGTCTTTCGACGCAAATGACAACAAATTTGAGATAAACTGCAACCGAACAAATCACCACAAAATTTTCGTTCAATTAAACTATAATGTTTTTCTTGAATTCAGGTCCTAAATTTATCACAATAACAAAAATGCTTCCAGCAGTTAAAATCTTGAATGAAGTGGTATTTGCAACATTTGACGGATTCTTCGTCAGCTAGAAGCTTCTGAGTATTGAAAATATTTTTGTGAACCATGCATGAAATTAGCCGTTTTTCAACAATTTTAGAAAACAGTGCAGAATGAGATGCTTCCACAGTGAAAAGGATCTTTCAAATGAAGCTCATCACGATGTTGTTTTTACCAATATACATGTAATTCAAATGTTTTCCTACCGTTTCTGAGTATTTCCATTCGTGATGCATTTTTTCTAAAAATTGAATAAATCAAAGCATCGTAAAAAATACAACTTACAATTTTCCACTACAAAATGTTCATCATCAAAGGCGGGAATGATAATCAGCTTTAATTTTTTAAACACGCTTCAACAGGTGGTCGCTGCGTAAAATCGTGATGAATTTCTCTGCTTTCCGAAATACTGTAATCTAATAAGGGAAATCCGTCATGGGACTCCAGGAAAATGGAGGAGGTTGGAAACAGAAAGAAAATTCTACCCGAGCCCCGAGGATGAACAAAACGTTCTATTTCCAGCGTGTCGCAAGCTAGAATTGCACAAAAGAACAATTCCACGAGCTTCTCTCAACGCATCGCGCACATCTGAACTTTCCAATTTAACCATTTCACCTAATGGCATTTCGGACGAATTTTCTCGCCCAACGGCAAGCTTCCAAACATTTAAGAGAAGATTCCACACCGAAACAAACCAGGTCCGGGGATTACTCAGAGAAGGAAATAACTGTCGCAGGTCTCGTCAGCACTTCCGACTCCAGTGCCACTCGCCGAAGCTTCACGGTTCCAGGAAATGGCTGGAAATTTCTACCAGCAGAAATCCTGATGTACGAGGAAATTCCTCCGTTTTTGCTATGCATAATTCAAAAATATTATGCCACCAAAATATCCCAAGGAAAAAAAAAAACTCGCGTTCGTTAAAAACCTGTGAATATGCAATGAGAGCAGAATGCGCGTCGTTCGCCCCAAATCCTCTACACGTTCGAGCATAATTTTGAAAGCGTTCATGCCAACACGTCTGAAAAGCCCGATGATTATTTTTTGCATACAAGAGAGCCCAGCAAGGTCGCTTATTCTATACTCACGAGAATTTCCGACGAGTTCTACGGAGAACTTGACGTCATTCCGCGCAGTGATTCAGTCCATAAATCTCCAGAAAATGCAATCGAAACCCACCCCTGTGTCTTTTCTACGAATCCAAGTAAATCATTCCGCGATCAGAAGGAAAAGTATGAAAACAAAAGTAAGCCAAACAGTGAAATCTGGGTTCGTGGAACGATAAGGCATCTCTCAGATGGGGTAAAAAAAAAAAAAAAAAGGACCCAAAACGTCGCCGGCAGCAAAGCCGGGAAAATGAATGTGTCCAGGGAGAGACGAACAGGGCACCAGGGGGAAACAGAATGGATCGGGTAAGGTTCAAGGGGAACTTCCCATTGTGTAATATTTTGGGAGGATCATCCTTGTCCCTGAATGTTCGTATTGCGAAACCTCATAAAACTTCCTCAGCATTGAGATTCTGTGATAAATAAAACACGATTCAGTGATCGTGTCATGAGGTGTCATTTAGTATTGACCTTACCTAGTATTGTTACTTATGCTATAGACTTAGTGACTTGAGATTAAAGCTAATGTTTTGTATTTTTTGTTTATGTATATGTCATATTACGTATTTCTTGATTTTAATATATTCGGTGCTTTTCCCTTCATTGGCTGATCATCTGAGCAAAAAAAAAAACACAACTAAAGAGGGAAAAGCGACCCTTTTCTTACCTGTTGAATGAATTCGTCTTACAATGTTCGATCATTCGAACATTGTAAGTTTCATCAGTTCGTAACAGTGAGATTATTTAATTAGGAAAAAATACTCGTGCGTAAAATTGAATCAGTAATGAAGCTTCACAAAAATATTGTAAGCGTACCATGAGTATTTGTTAAACCAGAACCATTGCACTGTCTTTTTAAAACATAGGTTCAGGATCTTATTATGAAATGCAAATTTCACAGTTTCTCCTAACATGATTAAAAAGTTTCTGAATGCTAAAAACTGTCCGAAAGTAACCTGATCATGCTCTTCATCGTCCAAAATTTACATGAAACATTCTGAGCTTATGAATATTTTACATTTGATGATTATTTTTCCTACCACCTGCAAAGCGATACATGAAGCACATTTGCTTTTAAAATCAAGATAAAGCGATTCCCTCGAATTCCAAAAATTGACAGAAAATTGAAATCTCCTTTGTTGTGAGAGGCCGTTAAAAAAAAGAGCACTAGCATGTCAAATCCCAGCCGGTGTTCGTCAAGCACAACAGATTCGTTTATTTCTCAAGCAAGCACCAAAAATAAAAGCTAAAAAAAGTTAAGAATGCAAATCATAAAAGGAAACTACTGTACTACAGTACAACTTGCTCATTGAACAGCATAAGGTCAGGGTACATTCAAATTGGGCAGTTCCTTTTTTTAATGGAAATTCGTGTTTCTAATGTTGGTGATACCATTTTTTAAAACCTGAATTTCTCAAACACACCTTCGTTAATATTCTGCACGCTGATTTCGTGCGTCTGACTTGAAAATAAAAAGAGTATTCAACTATAATACTGAACGCGTCTTCTACGCATACATATTCACGAAATCTATATACAGTACTGTAATTCTGAAATCTCAATTCCTGTTTCAGTCACCAGCCTGATCTCCTCGCACTGACTTCCAATTAGAAAAATCAGAACTTTAATTCGTGCCTTCACGCTGGAAAATGGCTGCAGGGATTTTTGAAATTGCATTTCCGACGATTTCTATTTTTAAACTTCGCGTCGGTTGCAAGTTTTCCAGTGCTTAACGTGCGCATCCACGACACCATAACAATCCCCCATTAAACACATAAGAGTCCAGCTGATCTTCTCAGCCACAATAATACGTCAAGCAGTATCAAATAACAGGGTACAATAGTTTGATGAGTTACACGGGGATCACATAAGTTGGATCTTTCCCCTCCCAATTTCTGAGCGACCAGCATTGCCGCGTGCGTCGCAAAGTCCGATTTTCCAGGAAGAGGGCATCAAACGGGGTAAAGTAGCGCGGACAGGCGAGGCGGGAGAGAGACACGGCGAGAAGCATTACGGACAGACAGACAAGCACCCAGAAAGGAAGAGAGAGAGCGCGCGAGAAAGAGACAGAGTGTGAGAGAAAAGCGGCAGACAGAGCGATGGCAAAACAACGCGAGGAGGGAGTATATAGCGAGTACAGAACAGTACAGTACAGAATAAAGTTGAGTCTCCCCCTCCCGGGAAGCACTACCCAGAAGCAGCAGCAGCAGTAGTACAGTATAGAAACTCGCGCGAGGAGAAAAAGGGATGAAGGAAGAGAAACACACACACGCACATACATCCAGAGAGAGAGAGAGAGAGAGGGAGACAACCAGTCGGACTACTGACCGTTTGATGGCGGCGATTTTCCCGGAAGGCGGGTTCTGGATGACGACTCGCGGCGAAGTGATGGGTCCGTGGTGCCCGGCAGTGGTCGTGAGCAGCTCGCGGCCCAAGGAGGCCAGGCTGGGCTGTGGTGCCACCTGGTGCCACGGTGACGTTTGCGTCTGGGCCGGGGCAGAAGCAGCTGTTCTGTGCGGAGTCCCGCCTGACCCCACGCCCAGGCCGTGGTGGAAATCGATGTTCCTGCACACCCAGAAATCGTACAGTTGACAAGTCACTCGAAAAATAAAAGCCCTTCACGAAAAGCAAATACCCTGGGGGGAAAACTGAAATAAACAACGACCGCATTCCCGTTAAACATAAAACGGGTGCCATGAGAAAATTCCGGCGACGAGAAAAAATTTCATCTGCGGAAGTCTTGCAGTGATACAACTTGGGAAAAATATTGCATATGACAGGAATCGATTCAGAAATAAATAATACGAGACGAAATGAATGAAAGAATAATAGCAGAAATTGCATTTGAAAAATCAATCATCTTGAAGTAAAATCAGGAGGGTAAAAGTATTTTTTATACCTGAGATAAAATTACTTTAACACGTCAACACTACTGTTTTTGCTTCCTCTCTCACCAGCAATTTCTCCATGTTGACATTTTATCCTGTCCCTAAAAATACCCATTCCGATTTCCACAAAATATGAGACGTCATCGTGAAGATTAGTAATCGACGCAGAACTTCATTCTGGGCTTTGTATGAGAAAGGATATAAAAGAATTTGCCTGTGGATATAAACTTGGATGTATTTCGAATAAATCGCATTTCTGCAGAACTTTAGGTCTGCAGAATACTTGCAAAGATTCATTTGAGACTCGGTTCTAAGTATACACAAATAAATTAGGAATCGGATCGCTGTGCTCATGTGCGAATAATGGTAGAATTGAAAAATCATATGCGAGACGAACGCTGATTAATCGAGCCAATTTTCGGCAAAAAGCGGCGTATTATCTCCATTAAATATTGTACAGTACAGTAATCGTTGATAATAGCGATATATTCAGAAATTATCCTGAAGAACGGCCTTGACCCGGGAACAAATCGAGACTATTTTCTTGAAATTTCAAGTCCGGACAAATAATTTTTGCTTGCCGGAGGAATACAGTAGCTACTTAATGGAATCTGACCCAATAATCTTATGAATTCCTTTTTTTCACCCTTGCGATTCAAAATTTGCATTCAACAATAAAATTTCACATTTCAAGCTTTTGAATTCTTTTTCGTGATCGTTTTTGTTCTTTTCATCCGAATATAAGAGCACTTCCTTAAAAAGAAAAACTCGATCTTATTTATAGTAAATGTATCCATCAAAATATACTTTACATCTCAACGCTGTTCATCTATTTTCTGAAGCGTGAGGTTTCCGAGACGAATCCGAAAAAAAATCCAGGAGTACTTGAATTAGTTCACTTGCAATCAAAATAGCTCAACACAGCGGCAAAAATAACTTATTTCATACTTCAAGCGATCCAATTTCAACACATGTTTTCACCTTCGTTTATTTTATCGGCAAGAACTCTTATTCTACTCGCTCGCAAATAAAATCCCAGTTTTAATCCAAATCGGACGCTTCTGCTAGCAAAATTTCGCTACAAAAATATTGCAATAAATAAAACGGGATCCCGACATTCGGATGACTCAACTTTGGGACGACTGATGAATAAAAGAATCTGCCCAACATCCGGACAAGGTTTCAAAATACGGACAGTTCACCAAAAGGAAGTTTACCGTTTTTTTAACGTTTTGAAAATTTGCTTTTTCGAATTTAAAAAATTAAAAAGAAATGTTATTAAAATTCAACGTACTGTTGTTCATGATTAAAAGACGACGATTTTATGCTTCTTTTTTCAGAGTTCTTTCCAGCGTCTGAGCCCAGTACAGTAGGACTCATGCTTGTTTTTTTTTATACTTTTTTCGCTCTTTTTCATGCCAGAAAATCAGATTTTGTCCAGGGTTTTTCTGCACTACTGTATTAATTTCTGGATATTAAAATGGAGAAAAATTGTTATGTTTAAAGTTTTCATCAACAGGGGAATCAATTAAATATACTGTATTCCCACTGAAGTCTAAGGGAAAACGCGATCCGACAAGCGGACGTTCAGACATAGGGCTCAGGAATAAGCACCAATTACGTCCGCATCTCGGGGTCCCACTTCAAAAATTTGATTAGCGCGCGTTTTCAAAGCTTTCCGAGATTTTGAATTGAATGCCTGCCACATATATAATGCTGTACATATCGTTCCCACATAATGAAAAATTCAGTTCACGCTTATTCTGCATCAATATCCCGTCGTAACAGTCATCATGACATTGGCGACATGAGCCAAAGAAAATTTGCTCACCTTCGTCCATCAGATCCACTGCCTCCGTGGGAATTGTTCGACGCCTGCTGCTTGATCGGCTTCACGACAGCGATCTTCTGCTTTTCTCCCTGCGCCGCCACGGCGGCAATATCATGCACCGACAGGGGTCCCTTGTCACTCGACACCGACCTCAGCAGCGACTGCGACAGCGCCGCCTGCTCCGCCCTCGTCCCGGGCACCGCCACACTCAACAGCCCCTGCTCATTGCCTCGACCCCCCAGGTGTCTCGGCGACCGAGGATACACGTCACTCGACACCCGCCTCGGCGTCGTGGCAATATGCGCCTGCGTCGGCGCCTCGGCAGCAAAATACCCCATCGGATACCCCGCAGCGGCGCCGCTGCGGTACCTAGCTGCAGCCGCCGCCGCCGCCGCCAACGCTGCCTGTTGATGCGTCGCTCCCTGGCCTCTGTACGGATACACGACTGCTGTTGGGTGGGCATCCTGGGAAACGAAGGCGGACGTGTCGATCGGGATGTCGCGGAGTGTCGGGCGCGAGGAGTTGCGTCCGAGCGTGCCGGACTTGTACCATTGGTACGGGTCGGCGGCGGTCGAGGAACGCGTCATCTGGCCGCCGTGCTGCTTGTTTTGCGACGAGGAAGAGGAGGACTGGGAGAGGCGGGCGCCGTAGGGGTCGGCGTAGCTGGGAGTGACGCCGCCGTACGGACCAGTGGCGGACTGGTGGAGCGAGAGGCCGCCGTCGAGGCGCTGGAGCCGCGATGGTGTGTGCTGCACGTGGTATGCTTCGGACGCCAACTGGCCTTGGGACCTGCGTGAAAAAGGCGAAATTAATTTTTGAAAAGCGTGTTTTCTCCTGCACGAAGTTTTCTTCATTTCTAGGTACAGTTGCAGGACATGTTGCTGGATTAAACTCACAGCGAATGTATTTTCTTTTATTTTTGTTATCCATACGCTTCTAATTTCGTTGTTTCCCATTCTGGAGTGATTCAATGTTTTTGAATAGATTTGGGCTGGGTGGGGAGGGGGGTTGGATGTGGGAATGTTGATTGCACCTTGTGAACGCTGAAAAGCGGAAAATAAAGCTTTCTGTTCATTCATTCATTCATTAAACTCACCCTTGAATCGTTGAACTAGCCTTTTTTTGAAATCACGGGTGCACGACAAGCTTGTGAACCCATGAGATGAGAAGAAGAACCCCCGTTTAAAGAGTTATTAAACCTCTATGTATAATAACGGCTTCTTTTTCAAGCAAACTATTTTCGCTCGTATTGAGCTCTAGGCCATATCAGTCTATTTAAAATTACAATAACGTTTTGGCTTAAAAAATGTCTCAAGCTTTAATTTCAGACCATGCACGTAGATATTGCAGAAGTCTGTATTTTGATGTCATTAAATGAGGTTTGCCCTTTGGTATACTGAAATGTGAGTGATTCCATCATGTGCAAACGGAGAGCTTGAAAAAAAGTTCATCGACGATTATAGTTGGATTCGGAAAAGAAAAGCTGAATTCAGCCATAATCGGAACGTGGGCATTGTAATTACTGTATCTTTTTTTTCCGCCGACTTGAAGTTGTAGGAAAAAATTCCCAAACATTCTCGGAAAACCCTGAGCTAAGAAAGTTTTGTCTGACCGACAGCTTTTGTCTGAGCCGTTTCAACACGGATATTCGTCATGAGCAAATCTACAAAAAAAAAAAACGACGAGAAACTTCATCTCTGTTTTTTTCGAATTTTATATCAGAGGATCGTATTGTTGCCACTGGAAGTATTGAATTGAACTTTATTCGAGAAATAATCTAATGAGCTTCAAATAATATTTTTTTTCAATAGCTCCGGAATTTGTGCTTTTTTAATCAGGAAAGGTCAAAAATGTGCCTGCTAATACAGAATGAGTCGTATTCCTATGAATTTCCTCAAAATGCAATCTCGATTCTTCTCATACCTCACGAGAATCGCTGCAACTCAAACACAGAAGAAATCAGGATTCGCTACAAATTTGCGAACTAAGCAAATAATTGTACAGTTGTAAAATGTAAAATGTCTATATTTGAAACTGAGGGTTCGCGGAAATTTCGAAGTTCGGAAATTCTTCATTAATTTTTAATCCATCTCGCAATAACGGATTTTCGCACCAAGATTTTTGCACCAAGCAGGAATTTCACTTTATCGAAGTAAAATTCCTGCTTCTAAGTTGGCACATTCAATAACTGATTACACTAACCTGCAAGATTTTCAAATTACTCAACGCCTCCTAAATATCATTTTACAATCAGTCGTTATGGATGATGAAATGCCACATAAATTTCGCTCTCCGTAATAAAACCGAGGCATAACGAATTAACAAAAGGCAGACCGATGAGAAGGAAGAACAGTATCCTCGGACGAAAGTATCAAATTTTCCAGAGCAAAGGATGACGAAATGGCTGCAGCAATTCCATGGAAAGGTCAGTAAATGTGACTGCTGGTGGAGATCTCTCAAGGGAGCAGTTGATTAGCACATTATTTCCGCACGGATAGATTACACGTATCTCTTGGCGATCCTTTGGCGTTGGGTTAATTGTGCCCAGTGTAGAAAATCCATTCGGTGACACCATTGTCGGGCTCGTCTCATGGTCTATATACTCTTATATTAGATGACTGCCTCGCCTATCTTCAGCAGAATCTTGAGACAATCATTTACTTGAAAGAAAAAACGCAGGATGTCTATATCAGAAAATTAACCGTCCCAGCAATGCAATTTAAAGAGAGAAAAGTTCGTAATTATCCCCAGCAAGTTGCCAGATTTCTCTATCGTTCGGACGTCACGAAGGATATGCAAAAATTAAAACTAAATAAATCTATCTCGTATGTTTTCTTCGTGGTTTTTAAGTTTCACGGATTTTGTGCCACTCGGGTTCTAAATGAAATCCTCCAAGAGGTGTGAAACACAAAAAGTATGGGTGCATGCATACATGTCAGATGTCCAGTTATATTTTGTGGATTGTATTTTCTTTCATTTTTGTTACCCATTTGTGCTCTGTTTCCTGCTCTGAAGTGATTGAATGTCTTTCTTTGAGTGGATTTGGGTTGGGTGGGGAAATCTTGATTGAACCTTGTGAACGCAGAAAAGCGGCAAATAAAGTGTTCTGTCCATTCATTCATTCACAAAAAGTACAATGTCTAGTAGAAAATTAACCATCCTAGCAAATTTAAAAGAGAAAAAAAAATGTGAAGAGAGAAAAGTCCGTTCGAGAGTTCGTCTTTATCCTCAGCCATTTTTCGGATTTTTCCATCATTTGCATGTCGCGAATGATATTCGAGAATTAGGACAAAACTTATCTATAGCGGGTTTTTCTCTTACTTTGGTTTCAATTGTATGGCTTTTGTGCCAAGGAAATCCTCCAAGAACGGAAACACAAGTCCTGCGAGTGAGATTTATAATGTGAGCAGTCGCATTGCTAATGTTCTTTCCGCCGGTGCACATCATAAATCGTTTCAAGACATTTGAATAAAACTGGGGCATCACTGTGGTACTTAGGAGCCAAAAATATGGCACAGTACTCAGGAACGGATGATCCTAATTTTCCTTTTAGTTCTTGTAAAAGTGAAAAGATATTTTCTCACGTCATGTTACGATTTCAAGCTTTAAAACCTTGATATTGTTCTGAAAGCTAATGATTCGTCCTTTATTCAGGGGGAATGGTAGAAAAAAAATCTGCCCGAGAGATTCCTTCTCCCATGAGAATTCATAATTTTTCCATTCAAGTTTGTATAAATCATATTTTTTCAAGAAACAGCGAAAACTGATTCAGAGAAGACGTGCGAGTCTTAATATTCTTAAGATAGTCTGAGTTTTGAACTTGGTGCAAGGTTTCAAAATGGTAACATTGTTTCAATTCTGTGAAATTCAAAATATCGACTCTGATCAACATAATCGTATACACCCTGAAAAAACTTGCTTCTGTTATACAGATTCATATTTTTATATTTTGAAAGGTTCCGTCATGAATGCAGATGAATAAGTCTCAGCAAAAAAAAAGGTGTCATCTGTTGGCATGAACAAAACTTGAAATCGAGGCCGGCGAAATCAAATATTTACATAAAGAGAGGTTGAGCAGGTGTAAAATTCATATTTTACGCACTCTTTTTCAAACGAAAGCCTGATTCTTCGATCAACCGGACTGAAAATGTCCTTTGCAGCACGTTAAAGATGAAATTTGCATAATTGATATACCGTAAGTTCATTGAATTGAAAATTATTATTGAATTTGAGCTGGTATCAACGGAATTCGATCCGCGGCATTCGGTAAAATTTTTCTCTCTATACCCATAAAGTCTGACAGATTTAAAAGAGGCAAAAGAGAAGAAACTACAAATGTCTGGATAATGAGGCTAATAATGTCTCAGATTTCTTGTTCGACAGTTTAAATTAGCCAGTCCCACATCATGTCAACCTAGATCTTGAATCTTGAGCAACATTTAATTGGTTACAATATTATAGTCAAATTACACAGTCGAAAATGTGGATTCTTCCTCCTCTTAAATATCAGAACCAAAGTATTTTGTATAATAGAACAACTGCTATAGTGTTCTATCGAAATACAGTACTGTAGAACAACAAAGAATTCCACAGAACTTGCAAAATTAAATTTCATGAAACTTCAACTGCTGCTCGGGCTCAAAGTGAAAATTGAAATTCCCGGCCATGATGGAATTAATCTCGAGGAAAACGAGGCACCATTTCCCCGAGTCGGTATTCTGACGCTAGGAATAGAATACGAAGAAACGACTGCGAGAAATCGTTTTCTGCCTCTTATCTTCCAGACTTCGACAGTCAAATAGAAGGCACTTACCCAGAACTAAAAAGCTCTAAAGGCTTCCAAATTACCTGCATTATACGAACCTAAACCGTCCCCAGATGTCCATAACACCCATATGCGTATTCGCTACAACCGCTCTTCAAACGACGCAGGAAGCTGCATAAAACATTTTTCCCCAAGCTCTTACTTCGACCACATGGTATCATTTAACTCAATTACTGTGACAGCCCAGTGTTACGCTCGTATAGTCGAGCTGACATGGTAACGAGGCAGATGGAAACTGCCTCCAAGTTCGTTACGCCAGCAGAAGGCTTTTAGCGTTTCAGAGTAGGAACTATACTGGAGTACAATAGTATCAATCATCCAGATGCATCAACTCGACTGTTCCACTTGGCCATGAAATGCCTTTTTTTCTTCATAGCTGTTTCGGATGGGAGACGGACAAATTGAGACAGACAATTCGAGACTGGACAAATCCAGACAGAAAATTTGAGACAGGGCCAATTTGAGACAGGGAAAATTTCGGGCAGGGTGATTTAGAGAAAATGAACAATAGGAGACACGGACATTCAGAGACAGGGAACATTTGAGACAGTTCCAAAGCAACTCTGAAAACACAATTTTTTTTTGTTATTTTACACTTAATTTCTGATTTTCCCAAAATCCCCCCCTTACTCTTCACCCAAAATTTATAAAATTCATTTTACACCTGATTTTGTGCACTTAAAAAAGGTCTTTTAGAAAAGCCCTATTCCCCGTTATCTGCTATCAGTTGAAGGAAAATTGAAAAAAAAATAGCTGCTGCATTACTTCAATTCAATTTCCCATCGTTGTCTGCATTATTTGTCTTATGGGAAATACAATTAACATACATTTTGACCAAAAAAGTGAAATTTGTGTTCCTTTTCACCCCTTCAACGTAAGATATTCGGGAGAAACAAGGAAAAGTCATTTTGAAAATGCCTCTGTCTCAAATAGTTTGACTCAAAATGTCTCAGATTCTCTCTGTCTCGAAATTTATCTGTTTTGGATTGTCCCTGTCTCCAAAAGTAGATGTCTCAAATTTTCCATGTCTCCAAGAGCTTCTGTCTTGTTTTGTCCTTGTCTGAAATTGTTCCCGTCTCAAATTTTCAGTCTCAATTTGTCCTAGATCCATTAAGGATGTTCCATGCAATAATTGGAATCTTCGAAAATGGATTCCCCGTGCATGTTTCTCCTTCAAAACCCGTTGGCGACGAGCACATGGAATTTTCATAAAACTAATTTCAATAGCTGATTCAAGTTCAGAACAGAAAACGGTAAACGGTTCAAAAGTTGAACAGCAGGGGTTCCTGGGTACACTTTTAAAATTTTCACGAGAACCTCCTGCCTTTAGTTACGAGTATCAAGTTCAGGGTTTGGGGGGGGGGGGTGGTTTCCTAAATTATTACGTAAATCTTTCAAGAATGTGGTCTGATTCACGATAGTCTCTTGCATCGAATATTATTATTACGCAGCTCTTTGATACGAAATGATTCCGACAGAAGGTAATTTTGTCCTGATTGAGCTGGCTTCGCATTTCAAAATACGTGATTTTGATCCAAAGGTATGCGCAAAAAAAGAGGAGTAAAATCTCAGGAGCTCTGAATATACGGGCCAATTCAAGGGTATCTCTACCCAGCCAATCAAGTAATACATTTTTACGAATTCTAAAAAAAAACATGAAATAAAAAATGACTTGACATGATATTGTATGAACAACTTCGTCGCGAATCTAGCAGTGCATCAGTCTGCATAATTAGCCCATCTATTGGAAATCGAATATTCTAGATTTATTGATCTGGCAGTAAAAAGCGATGAGGGGGAAATAAGCTCATCTGGGGAACACTGGAACTTGAATATTTTACTACATTCACAATTACAAATTTGTTTGCGTGTCAACCAAAAATGAAAAGAGCAATAAAGTCATTTGATACTAGCTTCTGGTTGCGATCGCGGCAGCATGAAATTTACTCACGTTAATTGTTCACCGTCGAAAAATAATGGCACAAAAGTGAATGCTGATTAAAATAATCAGCGATTATATCATTAGAAAATGGGCGACGATTTTTTTTTTGTACAGTGAATGAAACGCATGCAGCAACTTTCAGGACAAGTAGATGTTGAATTCTTGTACTGTAACTATTACATGAATCCAAAGAAATTGCCCAAATTTGTATCACGACTTTCACAGACAGGTGTAGCGAATGGGAGTACTTTACGAAGTACTATAATCGTAGACTTTAAAGTTTTGCACAACAGACGCAAATTTTCAAAAGAAAAGCGTTCTCACAAATCGTCGCATAAACGGCGCATTTGTCACACCTAACGATGCCAAGCACGAAAGTTATTCGCGTTGCAAGATTCTGTCTCGTCAATAAACTTCAAATTTTGGAAGACACGAAATAAGATATACTGTATACACTTTAATGAAGATTTACATAATATTGTGAGAAGAACCCAAGAATGATCATAGATTATTTGGATCTTGAAACCGTACGACGGGTTTCTTGCGTAAAACCGATTTTACGAGATTCAAAATTACGAATGAACATGCATTTTTTTGTCTGCTCTAATTTCCAAGGATTACGAAAAAAATGGTAAGAATGATATTTGCATGTTCGCATTTGTTTGGAATCAATTAGTTGGAATCAGATAATTTTCCCGGACATCGTGAGTTTCAAAAAATAAATTCTTCGCAATAATGCATAACTTTAGTTCCATCGAATGCAGCCAATTAAGTACCTTAGATATGAATACACGGTCCTCACACATTCAAACAACATTTGAACAAATAAAGAATGCAAAAAAATACTTCTCCTCAAGAGCAAAAGGGGAATGATTCCAACGGGGATTTCGTTCCAAACGTCAGCGGACGAGTAGCAAAAGTATGAAGATGCGGAATGAATGCATCATATCTCTGAGCTGGTTTTCCTTTATAATTTTCCTCAACAATCCCCTCTAATGGTGCCTCGAATCTTCCTTCTTGAAGATCTAGTCGTCCTCAATCAATTTCTGTCTAAATAAGCTGGAATAAAGAACCCGGTGCGGTCTGGCGTGGGTGTCTGAAAAGGGTGATGGAATGACAGACACGAGAGTGCTTGAGGATTTTCCTTCCGAGGTGGCTCAACACCAAGATGGAGGCAAATCTATTCAGATTCGATTCATTTTTCTGTCTTCAAAGTACAGTAAGTTTCATTAGGAAACAAGGACACTCTGAAGAGGCTGAAAATTTACTCTTTTGCGAATCCCAAAACATCGTAGCGTTATTGAAGGACTCGTAACCTAAAGGTAATTAGTATACGAGGTTTGTTCAAGTTCCATCAATCTTGCGATATACTCTTTCCAGGTAAACACACTTAAATTAATTTAATGAAGTAATTCCTGTTTGTGTCCGCATTTATCCAAATATGTTTATCCAATTTGAAAATTCGAAAAAAACGGAAGCTTGAGAAAGCATCCTATCAAAAGCTTAAGAACGAAGACCTAACAATCGCATTTTCATGTTTCAAGAATGAATAATTCGCCATAAATGCTGCCTCGTAATACGGAAGAATCCCTCGTTACAATGAATCTCGTTCTAACGAAAGCTCGGTTACAACGACGTACCTTTTTACGTCCCTACCGAATAACCACAATTTTAAATGAGTAGCTTTATACAGAATTGTTCCTTACAAATAATTTATTTGAATGGTACGACTAGCTTCGTATTGACGGGATTTGAGTGCACCGACAAGATTTTAATTTGTATCGTAGAAACAACTTCCCAATACCACGCATAATTTTCAATGAGCAAATGCGGTCTGATCTTGACATTGTTTGCATAAAGCAACAAAATGTGAAGGTTTGCATTAAAGAACAACATTCAAAGCAAGTAAGGTGTGGGAGTATTGAATTGAATTGAAGAATAAGCTCTATTTTCCGCTTTTCAGCGTTCACAAGGTTAACACAACATTCCCACATCCAAAACCGCTCCCAACCCAAATCCTTCCAGAGGCATTCAATTACTTCAAAAGAGAAAACAGAGAAGTAAGTTGTATGCGGATACTAAATGAAAAGAAAATACATCTTACAATGTACATTCATACAACTGGTGTGAATGCCTAAAACCCTCTCCTTCACTGATGACAAAAACAACCCCATTTAACCCAATTTAAATGTGGGAGTAATATTCTTCCGGATCCGGATCAACCATATTCGCATCATTATAAACGTTGTTTTATTTTAATTGTGCAAATGTGATAAGCTGTGATATCATTGTACGAATATTACTAACGATTGAAGATTTCGGTGAATTTTCTTTTGCTCTCATTTTCCAAAAATTATCTCCAAGAAATAAATGAGTGCTCTCCTCAATAAGTCTTACTGCTGGATCCTTCAGATCAGTTCTGCCCTACTCAGATGTGGCCAAGGTCCTTCTTCATACATTTTGTATGGCCAAGGGCCACATTGCAGAGGTGTGGTGTCCTTTCAGGCCACAATATGACAATAACTTCTAGGGCTCCAAATTTGCTCCATTAGAAATGAAACGTTTCACATGTAATAATCCAGAGCTATGCATTGATATAATTATATATAATTTTCGAATGGTGGAGCAACATTTTCGAATTTTTAGATTAATCTTCCAGTATTTTTGAGTAGTGACAGATGACCCTTTTGAAATTATCCGCCCGTGCGACAGATGAATAGTCTTCACGGATATTGCTTCTGAGTAGCCAACAAGAAAGAAAAAATTTTCAACACGGTACAGACTGAAAATTCGTTTCAATCATATCTGGTTCCAACGGACAATAATTATTGAAAAATAAAAAAAGTGAATCGTGGTATAGTCGACTGACCTGTGATGGTGAGCGTGGGGCAGAGTGCGGACGTAGGAAGAAGTGACGTCGGAAGTCGGTTCCGGCGCAGGCACGGAATGGCGCCCGCCCGAGTGGTGCTGGTGGTGGTGGTGCCCATGCTGCGAGTGGTGCGACGCGTACTCCCACGGGACCTGGCCGCTGGTGCCTGTCTGCGGCGCCAGTCCGGAGTGGCTCTCGCGGTGCTGGTGCACATAGCGCCGCCCTCGGCCGTCCAGAGTCGCCGCGGAATACCCGTCACCGTTCATCGGCACCGCCGACTGCTCGTCTCCATTAGCTGCTGCCAACTACACCCTCCTTGTCCTGATTTGCGAAGCAAAAGAAAAAAAAAAGAAACATGTAAGATGAATAAGAAGGAAAAGAAGAAAAAAACTCATTTGAAAATCCACTTCCGTCACAAAGGTGGAAAAATAATTTAGATGTCAACGAGCCTGATCACATCAAAGGCTTCACAACGATCAATGATCTTATTGGCGAAGAATCCGTTTGATTTAAGAAATTTTAGTACAAAGACATCTTCCTCGGATCATTTCAGGGCTCTCAAAAAATAAGTGAGGACGTAAATCATATCCCATCACGGGATGTCGACCATAATCTGCTTATTTCATTAAGTTTTCATCAAATTTATGCGCAGGTGTTAGGCCAAACATTCAACCCATAGAAAGTAGACGTGGCCTGAATCATAATCGTTCCAGAACTTCATAGGCCGCAGTAGGGTTTTACACAGAGAGCGGCCTACACTCAAGATAACTAAATTCGCTATTAAATCTACCAGCAAGTCTTTCGTCACCTAAATTCAAATCCCTACTTTCTAATTCTGGAAATCATGTACTGTAATTGCTCCTTTATTCCCTTCAGAATTTTCTTCAGCAAATTTCTGTGGTTGAAAAATTAAAATAAATAGGTGTTGCCAACGCATTGACCGCATTGTCAGTCGAAAACATCCATTTTTGGCGACCTACGGACGGGCTTTTAGCATTTTTGCCTCACAAAATTCTGTTAAAACTAGGGTGCCACTTTAGTCGCCCTCTCCTTTCTCGGCAATTCACTTTTTTCAGACCACAAAGAAAAAGTGTTTTCATTCAAATTATGTTCGTATTAAATGTGTCTGAAGTCAGTAGAACGAGTTCTGCCGAATCTGAATTGAAAGATAACTACAAATCGATGACCAGAAAAAAAAAATCAGGAATCAAAATCAGAAGTGGGAGGACTCAGGCGACTTTTGAATTTCAGGGTAAGATTATTAGAGAAACTAGGTACAGTAAGAGGCTTAGAAGAGACTTATTTCGGAAAGAGCTAGCCTCAGGAGACGGTTTTAACTATCGACAGACTTTGAAAATATTGTACAATATTGCTGATCCATGATAAGGTCACAATTTTCTAGGAAAACTCCGGAAACATATTTCTTAAAATTCACTGTGACCTTGTGACCTGAGTTCGTCCGTCCAAAATAATCGATGGACTTGAAAAATTCCTCATAAATGTCCTAAACGTTCTCGAGTTCACTCTGAGCACTTCCTGTTAAGAAAAAAAGGTTCTGCATTGCGCATAAAGCTTCAGATTTCTTGAAACATTATTTCTGCGTTTTTAAACGTACGAAAAAATTTTAGACCCCAAATCCGATATCGCACAAAGTTATTATTCCATACTATCTGCCTTTTAGGACCACTTGTGGACTTTTGAGCGATATGTGATCCGAAAAAATGTCAGGAAAGGATCATAGAAGCCGACTACCAAAGCGACTGCTGCAATTATGAATATCTAATCAACTAATCAGAAACAACACCTCGAGCCAGCTCAATTTTCAAGAAGCTACGAATAATAGTCATAACTTCATCGTTCATCGATACCGTTGAAACAAGCACCCACACCAAACGCAAGAATACTACAACTTTGGCTACAAAATCGATCAAGTTCCTCTTATCTTGACAGGCCACACAACGCATTACCAGACGAAATGAGCCAGAAAACATGCTAAGAGAGAGAAATAATGCACACTTCTCGTCATTAGTTTTGCGTCTTCTTGTTGGGATGGCTGCTTATGCTCAACTGCGCGTCAGTGAGGAGTGAGGACATTACCCACATGCAACATGCACGTGGATCACGGCTGTGAGCAAGTATTTAATCCATGGGTGCTCCTATTTTAAGATTTTCTCAAATCTAAACAAGTACAGTACTGTTGAACGTGACACTGGTTCAAAGCGGAGACTGCCGATGATGTGCATTTGCCTCTGAATGAATCTCAAATATTAAAACAAACACAAATTTCCGCTCTTCGCAGGCAAGAGGCTTTTTCAAAAAAACCAAAGCAATTCAGGTTAGATAAATATAACAGTATTAAGTTGCAAAGAAACAGCTGAGGAGAAAATATTTGGAAGACTGAGTAGGAAGAGAGGAAAATTGCACTTCTTCGCTGTTCCAACTTCACGGTAGAAAAATGTTTGATTGCCCATTTCACCATTGCGATTGATTTCATCCACTAATAAGAATATCTATAAACCAAAGGTGAAACCAGTTGAAGAAACTGCTGCTTCTAATTTTTCAGCACATGGGTACATGTCCAGAGTATTATCGTAGTATTCTAAAAACAAAAATGAAAAGACAACTGATGAGAAAGTGGAAGACTGGCGCCTCACTTCGGAAATTTCCACCAAAAGCGTATTGAAAAAGTTATATTTCTCAAATCTATTTTTACAGAAGGAAATTTCCCATGACTGGAATTCGATCAACTATAAGGTTCGCCATCGCATGAGGAAGACTGTATTAGTTTGACTCGGGAAACAATTATCAGATCCATCTAGAAAAACATTCTCAATAATTCCTTTGACATATACAGTACTCATAAAATTCAAAACGACTTTGATTACTGCTAATAATTTCAACAAAAAACTTACTTGGATAGTCAATATTGCATTCGGAAATGAATCAACGATGACAAAACTGTTTTTGATCGAATGATGCCGAGGAATTTCAGTCGCATCAGATCAATCGAAAAGTTTCGATCTGCCCTCTATAATTAGAATATTCGTTCGCGGAATATGGATACAGATAAAAATTGATGAAAGTCATTGCAACGAGGATTTGTGTGACTGATTGAAATGCATTCAATCCGTGATCACGACAATCAAGCAATTCATCTACACATGATGCCAATTATGACGAAGCGGGTAAATTGAGCAGGCGATTTGACATTGTTTATGCAAGCAAGGGATCTTCGGAACCATACAAGTACTGTAGTGCTCTTTTATTCGGGAAAACTAGTTTCAAGCTTAATTTAAGCCAACTTTTCTTTCATCAAATATTTGAGAGAAAATCCGAAGGTTTTTCGACAAATTTGCTGGCTTCGCATACAAAAGTAATTTTTTTTTCAAAAACGTGCGCGAAACCATATATATAACATCAGAGCAGTGAGAATTGGGAGTGACATCAGCCAAGAAATAACTGCGTAAATCTGAACGGAAATCGACAATCTGAAATAATGCTTGGTGTAAATTATTCAACTAAACTTCTCGGGAATTCTAAATACAGTAACAATATTGATGCCTTCGAAGGGCGGATTCGGTAAAGTTTTGCCAGCTTCGCTCGAATTCTGGTTCGTCAAGTTAAATTAGACAGGAGGCGGTCATGCTTTATCATACAGTAATTAGACAACTTTTCGTATAATGAAGTTCGGGAATTGCTGGTAAGTTCAGATGCATCGATTGTGATACAAGCATTACCTGATTTTGATCGGAAAGACAGTCACGATTCGAATGAGTTGTTATAATACAGTATCACTATTGTATCGTAATTTGAGCAACGAAAATGCCGCATCTTATGCTTCGAATTTACTGTCCTTCTCTTAGTTCCATGCATAATAAGGTTCAATTCTTTTTCAGACATTTCAGTTATAGTTAACGAAGAATAATTGAAAACGCTTTTAATCCTCGACAACGCCTCAGTCTTGCAGGAAATTATTTGAATTGCAGTCAATCTAAACTCTGAAGCATGACTCGGTTCGACAAGAAAATTATTTTTAAATTGGCTGATTTGTTCGTACGCTATCTGAGGAAAATATAATTTGAAGAAGTTATAATCTCAAGGAGACGAAATTATGAACCTATTCCATCAGAATACCCACATGAATATAGACTGATTCATACATACTGTACTGCACATACATAAAACCCCAGCTTTTCTGCACTGAAATTTCAAAGAAAGTATTGCGCAAGTTTCACATGGTTTCGAAGAAATTCGTCAGCTGATTTGAAGGATTACTGCGCAATTTCATTGGAACTTCCTCGGTTTTGTGTTTGAGTGGTCTTCGTGAGATTCGCATACAGTATTTAAATTTAACTCACGTCCTCGAAAAGCAGATTTCGAGAAGAAATTAAGCAAAATTAATCGCGGTGTCCCAAGTTTAATTGAAGAAAGAAATTCTCACCCTGACGGGTCCCAGTTTGAGCCTCTTCACACGCTGTTGAGCAAAACGAGAGTCGCTTCCATCATCATCCGTACTATTTTGGTTTGCTGACCTATTGATTTGCAGCCCTTATATATATATATACTTCCTCCTTTTCACTGTCTTTGTTCTTTCTCACACACGGATCACAAGGACTCAGTTGCCGACACAAAAACAAAAAGTAGCTGTGTCAAAAAATATCGGTGGTGCCCCCACCGAAATTTTTATTTCACTCGATTTATCCGCTTGACTCCTCAGTCGTCGAGGAAAATCACATCTTCGTAGGGGGCACTTCGACGCTACCTGGAACTACAAAGAAAACCGCAAAAATGCAGATATTCACAAATTATCACGACTGCAAAGTACAGTAATGAATAGATGGCGAAGCAATGCGTGAGAAAATTAAACTCGTTTCTAACAAGATACAAGGCGCCAGCTTGAGATCCTTTGTGCTATGTATCGCACAAAAACTCCTTCATCGCCCCTTCACATCCCACGATAAATGAATTATGTGCACATTAAAATTATAATCTACCCTCCGAAACGTAAGAATCCTTGAATTAAGGTATACACTTTCCAATCATCATGTTTGCGAATAAATGCATCTAATTTTCTTCCACAAAAGAAGCGAGAGTCCTCATTCAACTAATTTCGAAATGGTGTCAAGTCGCGTCATCAAAAAAGCTCACAGAAAAACGAAACACGGAATACTACTCTTAAATGATTAGCAACATAACGTGAAATAAAAAGGTGACGGAACCAATGACAAATTGATTCACGAAGTATCAACTCGGGTAACGCATGGTTGCATAGAAGTCCATTGAAAGAAACCTTACTAAATCAGGGATGTTCTTCGAACATCATGCTTGATATTCATTACATTTGCAACTTTTGCTTCGTTGACTACATCCATTATATCATCTAATGCGCATAGGGATTCATAAATAGATTATTTCAGTTAGATTTGAACACACTTGACGAAAAAAAATGGATGTTTCCCAGGCGGAGGTAAAAAGTTGACTCATCAAAAGTACGGATCACGAGTGCTCTTCGAATTGCCTTTTCATCTGAGTTCCTCTCTCATCCGAACACCTTCGCAGTGCATTCCCAGAATGATGATCAAAATGACTTTTCTTTGGAAATTTGTCGAATTAAGTCAGACCTAAACGAAAGAACTACCGAATGAATCCAATACTGCATAAGAGAATTTCTCAGCGCATTGAATTCTAAGAAGACATCTGCTGAATGGCTGCTGTCGCGGACGCTGTTTGGTCCGAAGATAAGCTGCAGTTACTTGGACTTGCTCCGGTACTTACCCAAGAAAGTTAAATAAGTTGTGACAAACGGGCACCGTAAGCCACTGAAGCTTTCTCTTCATTACGTCCTTCAAAATAATAAAGCGAGAGAGAAGCAAACGCAGAAAATGGGCTGTTTTCAAAGAAGACGGTTTTTTTTTCTTCTTCTGAGGTCCTTTGAAAGTGGATCATGGTCCAGCAAACATCTGCCGGCTCTTCTCAGCGATCATAAAACCCGTAACCCCGAATATCCAGCCAAGGATCAAACGAGACGGTTTCTCAGCTTGTGACCCAAGGAGACTACGAAGTTTTCCTTCGTGTCAGGATGAGGATGTCTTTGCTATATGCGAGGAGAAGTAAAAAATACGTTCCACGGAAATTCCGATGTGATCAAACGAGACGGTTTCTCAGCTTGTGACCCAAGGAGACTACGAAGTTTTCCTTCGTGTCAGGATGAGGATGTCTTTGCTATATGCGAGGAGAAGTAAAAAATACGTTCCACGGAAATTCCGATGCTCTCTGTGCGCAATGCTTCGAAACCAGAGGAAAGAGCATTTCAATATTTCATCAAACATGCATCCGATTTTCATTCTCATTGAGTTCTATTCTCACTGGATATTGTCTCGTTATTCCGGGTCAGGGTCAAATGCTTCAATCCTTTAAGTGTTCCTCAGTGAATAATACCGTAGGTCTCTTTGATGTCCATGGAAGAGAAAGATGGAGAGAAGAAGAGCACTTCATGACGAAAAGAATCTAATAAGAATCTAGCATTAAAAAAAAGAACGATGGACCGACGAGAAAACCACCCCCTGATGAATTCATCCGTTTTTTTTTCTTTTGCGAGTTCCCGTTGAAAATCGTGAAATTGCAGTGTGGAATGACAATAAAAGCATTCAGTTGCGGGATTTCCCTCTGATGCTTTTGAAAATGATAATTATTGTTGCGTGCTTTCTGGCAGTATAACCTTTGTTTGAGTGTCTTCCGCTCGAAAAAATCAAGGAAATTTTCAAACATTGATGAGGATGAATAAAAACCTCAACTTCCTTCCCTCGCCGAAATTTAATAGAACCCGCTGGAGGTCATTATGATCATAATTGGTTATATGGTTCTCCACGATCAATTACAGTACAGTATCTTCTTCAAGAGATGGAATTGAACTTGCTGGAATAATGCTTTCAAATATTTTACCAATTTTAGCCGCCCATGTATGCATGACGTTATTTTTTTGCATTATACGGTATCCTGTATTATTACTGCATTCAAAAAATGAACCCGTAAAATTTTTTCCACCGAGGATTCTTTCAAAGCGCTCTCAACTCATCAACACCAAGGCATCAAAATCAGAATATGAGTTTTCGATTCCATTAGTATTCATGTGTGGGATTTTTTTTCTAAAATTTGAATTGAACCCGAATTACTGTAGGTTATGCGCATTAAGACCAAACGAATCTTCCAGGCTTTGCAAGTTTTTTTTTTAACTTTTTCTATCTCGCTAATTTGCGCGTAACGTAGCAAAATTTTAACCCGGCATGTTTTTCACCGAGGAATTTTTCAAAGCACTCACAACTCATCAACACGAAGTCATTGAAATCATAATATGAAATATTCAAATCTCGGAAATGATCTTCTTTTCTAGAAACAAATTTTCAACTCGAAATACTGTACACAGCACTTCATCAAGGCCGAACAGATTTTCGACTGTTTACAAGTTCTGCTACCCTTTTTTATAACGCTTTAGTTTTTGCACAATGTAACGCGCGACATTTTAATCCATGACACTTTTCCCCCACCAAGGAATCTTTTTTTTTTCAAGTACTGTATTCCCAACTCATCAACAACAAGTCATAACATCCACCCGGGTCGGAATCACTCACAATTATTTCTCGCGCTTCTTTTGAAAAAAAAGAAAGACAGAAGAAAAAAAGGAGCTATCGCACTGTTCACAAGCTGTGACACCGGAAACACGTTCATGTACTCAGAGTCATCGC